AAAAAAAAAAAAAAATATTAATCTCGCGTATAAAAAAAAAATATTTATAGGAACTTGTTTTGGATTTCGGTTATTTCGGTTATATTTGGTGAAATTAAAAAAAGCGTGGGTAACTCTTAAAAAACAAGAACCCACGTAATAAATATTTCTCATTTCTTCGCATTGTCTGGACCGTAACAATAAATAACAAATAAACCAACTGATTAATTCTCTTTAAAGAATGATTATTTTAGGAATCATGTCCTGAAATGCTGTCGTGACTGCACGACGAAGATTTTTCTTTGTTTAAAAAGACAAATTGATGATAGTAAATTATTGGTATTATTGATACTATCGATACTATTTGGTACTATTTGGTATTGATAAAGGAAACCTGACAAGAGCATATTGAACATATATTGAACATATTGAAACATGTTGAACATGTTGAACATATATTACATATATTGAACATGTTTGTTAAAAATAACTCAATTCTGGTAAGAAACTGTTAAAGTTGTTAAAGTTGTTATGTTGTTAAAGTGATGTTAGAACAACATCCAAACATATTCAAACACATCCAAACTTGTAAACAACCATTACGACCAAAGAAAAATACGATATTAAAATTATTATTGTTTTTTTATTTACAATATTTACAATTTACAATTTACATACTATATAACTTATAACTTATAACTATCTATAACTTATAACTATCTATAACTTAGAACTTTTATAACTATAACTTTTTATAACTATTCCTTTTGTTCTCTAAATTTGAAATAAACTTTTTTTGTTCTTACAAATTAAACTACACAAATATTTTTTTTTTTATCATTGAAAAAAAGGATTATGAGAAATGTTTTAATATATTAGATACATGAAAATAATAATAATATACATCATTATTATTATTTTGATTACTTTATATTGGTCTAATATCTGTCTCTTATACACATCTAGATGTGTATAAGAGACAGGAAAAATATCGTTCGTTGGATGTTAGATAATTTCAATTATTG